CAGGCGGGTCTCGAACCCGCGGGCTCAGGCAATTCACTCACCTCAGCCTCCCAAGGCGGGGATTACAGGCTGAGCCACTGAGCCCGGCTAATTATGTGTTTTTCTATGGACAGATGCAGGCATGAAGTAGGCAGAGAACTGGTTTAACCAAGGCTGAGTTTTTGTCTTGTAAATAAGACACAGGGAGGCTAGGCACAGTGGCTCAGCCTGTAATCTCAGCACTTTGGGAGGCCAAGGCGAGAGGACTGCCTGAGCCTGGGGACTCAAGACCAGCCTGGGATACTTGGTGAGACCTCTCTACAATAAATCACAAAAACTAGCCTGGCAAGGTGGCATGTATCTGTAGTTCCAGCTACTTGAAGGCTGAGGCAGAAGGATTGTCTGAGCCCAGCTGGCTAAGGCTGTGGTGGCCATGAACGTGCCACTGCACTCCAGTCTAGGTGACAAGAGTGAGACTCCAACTCAAAAAAAAAAAAAAAGACACAGGAAGGGGGAATAAGAGAGTTTAGCATATATGCATAGGAATGGTTATCACAATGAACCATGGAATCTTACCTGGATGAAAGACAGTGAAACAGTGATATGATCAATGGATTATTAATACTAAAGGGGTGGTAGAACTGTTAGAGCTGAGGTACCAGAGGGAGTAAGCTGTAAAGATAAAACATAGTGCTCAGAGAATGGGATGTTTGAAATTAATATCAGCCAGATGCAGTGGCTTATGCCTGTAATCCTAGCACTTTGGGAGGCTGTGGTGAGAGGACTGCCTGAGCCTAGAAGATCCAGTCTGGGTAACTTTGCAAGACCTCATCTCTATAATAAATAAACAATTTAGCCAGGCATGGTGATGTGTGCCTATAGTTTCACCTCCTCGGAAGGCTGAGGCAGGATTGCCTGAGCCCAGTAGGCTGCAGTGGCCGTAAGCATGCCACTGCACTCCAATCTGGGTGACAGAGTGAGACTCCAACTAAAAAAAAAAAAAAAAAAAGGTAACGCCTATGTGTCCCCTCCCACTGTGGGAGTTTTTCTGTCCTCTCAACAAATCCTGCTTAAAAAAAAAAGAGTTAGAGTATAGGAGTTTAGCAGGAGAGGAGTCGGGGTATAGGATATGGCAATATGAGAATGGTGAAGAGAAGAGCATTAGAAGGGAAGAGGACAAGGAAGTGAGGGACCAGAGCACTGCCTGCATGTATCATCTTCATTAATAATGAAGCCACCGGCCGGGCTAGGTGGCTCAGCCTGTAATCCCAGCACTTTGGGAGGCCGAGGTGAGGATTGTCTGAGCCCACGGGTTCGAGACCCACCTGGGCAACTTGATGAGACATCAACTCTACAATAAATCAAAAATTAGCCGGGCGTGGTAGCGCGCGCCTATAGTTCCAGCTACTCGGAAGGTTGAGGTGGCAGGATCACCGGCGCCCAGCAGGTCGAGGCTGCGGTGGTCGGGAGCGGCCACTGCACTCCAGTCTGGGTGACAGAGTGAGACTCCAACTCAAAAAAAATAATAATAATAATGAAGCCACCAAAAAAATCAATAGAAGTAGTACTGGAAAGAGTGACACTGAATCAGGAGCTAAAATCTTCAAGGAACAGGTGTCATTGACAGCAACAATGAAGGGTAACTAGGGATGTGATATGATAGCTTGAGTGTTAAAGCTGAACATAGGGGTTGGGGATAATAAAATAGCATTTTAAAACATTTTTTATTTTATTTTATTTTATTTTATTTTTTTTTTGAGTTGGAGTCTCACTCAGTCACCCAGACTGGAGTGCAGTGGCCGCTCCTGGCCACCACAGCCTCGCCTGCTGGGCTCCAGCGATCCTTCTGCCTCAGCCTTCCAAGTAGCCGGAATTACAGGCATGCGCTACCACGCCTGGCTGATTTTTTAATTTATTGTAGAGATGAGGTCTCGCTGCCCAGGCAGGTCTCAAACACACGGGTTCAGGCAATCTACTCACCTCAGCCTCCCAAAGGCGCGGGATTACAGGCTGAGGCACTGAGCCCAGCTTAAAACATTTTATTTATTTATTTTTTTTTTAGTTGGAGTCTCACTCTGTCGTCCAGGCTAGAGTACAGTGGCACGCTCATGGTCACTGCAGCCTTGACTTGTTAGGCTTAAGCAATCCTTCCACCTCAGCCTTCCAAGTAGCTAGAACTACAGGCACGCACACCACGCCCAGCTAATTTTATTGTAAAGATGAGGTCTCACCAAGTTGCCCAGCCTGGTCTTGAACCAGTGGGTTCAGACAATCCTCTCACCTCAGCCTCCCAAAGTGCTGGGATTATAGGCTTGAGCCACCAAGCCCAGCCAGCATTTGTTTTTGTTTTTTTTAGTTGGAGTCTCACTCTGTCTTCCAGGCTGGAGTGCAGTGGCACACTCACAGACACTGCTGCCTCAATCTGCTGGGCTCAGGGGATCCTTTTGCCTCAGCCTTCCAAGTAGCTGGAACTACAGGTGCGCGCTACCATGCCTGGCTAAGCATTTATTTATGCATTTATTTATTTATTTATTTTTGAGTTGAAGTCTCACTCTGTCGCCCAGACTAGAGTGCAGCGGTGCACTGTTCCCAGCCACTGCAGCCTCGACCTGCTGGGTTCCGGTGATCCTCACCTCAGCCTTCCGAGTAGCAGGAATTACAGGCGCCCGCTACCATGCCCGGCTAATTTTTTGATTTACTATAGAGATGAGGTCTCATCAAGTTGTCCAGGCGGGTCTCGAACCCGCGGGCTCAGGCATTCCACTCACCTCAGCCGCCCAAGGTGCGGGATTACAGGCTGAGCCACCGAGCCCGGCAGCATTTATTGTTAATTGTCTTTTTGCCCCATTAGATTGTCAGTTACTTAAAGGAAAAGAGACCATATCTTTTTACACTCACCACCTAGCACTACTTGGAACAGAATGGGTAGTACTTTAAAATTTTGGGGGGAAAGATATTGCTTTCAAAATTACTATCTGAATTAGAACCCAGTTGTCCTGGTTCCCTATCCTGGATACAGATTTACAGGATAACAGTACCTTTGGTTCTTTCAGTAACTCAGCTGATTCTGGTTCAAAGTCATCACTGAGTCAATCTCCCCAGCCTGGCAACAGGAGCATAGACCCATTTTAAGATTCTTTTTGGTCAGTTTCCTTATCAGGCCACTTAAAACAGTGAAAAGAAATGGGAGCTAGGTGTGTAATCTCATGCCTGTAATCCCAAGACTTTGGGAAGCAGAGGCAAGAGAATAGCCTGAGCCCATGAGTTCAAGACCAGCCTGGGCAACATGGAGAGACCTTGTCTCTACAATAAATCAAAAAATTAGTCAGGTATGGTGGCACAAGCTTGTAGTTCCAGCAACTTGGAAGGCTGAAGCAGGATTACCTGAGCCCCATAAGGTCGAGGCTGTGGTAGCTGTGAGTGTGCATACTGCACTCCTGCCTGGGTGACAGAGTGAGACTTTGACTCAAAAAAAAAAAAAAAGCAAAGTATCTCTGGTTACAGAACATCATCACAATATATCAAAAAGACCACTAACTCAGGAGTTACAAAACATAGGGTCTATCTTTTTTATCTTGCTATATGGCTTTAGGGAAATCATTTAACCTTTCTGGGCCTCTGCTCCTTCATATATAGAACAAGGGATGAATAGTTAGATTCTGGGATTTCTGCCCACTTTTCAGCTATAAATTCTATGTCTCTATGATCCTAACCACATGGAGTGGCACACCTGGGAGGTGGAAAGGAGATAGGGACCATTTTTACTGCCCAGCCCAGTCATGTAGCAAAGGCACTTTCAGGACAAAGGATAAGCAAGGATAAGAGACAGACCTGCAGCATCAGAGTCAGTACACGGCAGCAGACTGCAAACCTCAGCACCTCCTTCTGCGATGGGTCCAGGGGCCACATCCTCTCACCACCAGGAATTCAGGAGTGCTACCGGCACTGAGCCCCTCAGGCTTCTAAACTCCAAAACCAAAGGAGGAAAATGTCACATATAAGCTGAAAGCAAATTCTTGAAAGCATTCTTCATAGGAATCTTCCACTTCAGAATTACTAAGGCAAACTTAATCACTTGAAGGCAGATGGATTTACTAGGTGTCACCCTGAAGCCCTATATTCTTGTTGGAAAAGCTCCACACAGATAACCATGAAGCTAGAAAGCTAAATTCACATGAAATCGTTAAAAGCCTATTGAGGGCCGGGAACAGTGGCTCATGCTTAAAATCCCAACATTCTGGGAGGCTGAGGTGAGAGGACTGCCTGAGCTCACGGGTTCAAAACCAGCCTGGACAACCTGGTGAGACTCCCATCTCTACAATAAATCAAAAAATTAGCTGGGAGTGGAGGCACATGCCTGTAGTTCCAGTTACTTTGAAGGCTGAGGCGAAAGGATCACCTGAGCCCAGCAGGTTGAGGCTGCGGTGCCCATGAGTGTGCCACTGCACTCCAGCCTGGGTAACAGAGTGAGACTGACTCAAAACAAAAACAACAAACAAACAAACAAATGCCTATTGAGTATAAGAACCAAAGACCTGGGTTCAAGTCCAGACTTCTCATTAGTCTTTCTGAGCCTCAGTTATTCACATTAAAAAATAGAATCAAGGACAGGCACAGTGGCTTACGCCTATAATCCCAGTACTTTGGGAGGCCAAGGTGAGAGGATTGCCTGAACCCACAGGTTTGAGACCTGTCTGGGCAACTTGGTGAGTTATCTCTACAATAAATCAAAAAATTAGCCAGGCATGGTACATGCCTGTAGTCCCAGCTACTTGGAAGGCTGAGGTGGAAGAATCACCAAAGCCGAGCAGATCAAGGCTACAGTGGCCATGAGCAGCATGCCACTGCACTCCAGAGTGAAATTCCAACTCAAAAAAAAAAAGAGAAAAACAAAAACAGAATCAAATTTTTTTCTTTTTTTGCCTATCTCACAAAATTGTCATAATGGCAAATTGGATCAAAGTGTGAAATGCCACACATATCTATGCTGTGGTTGCTACTATTTGGTGTGTGCCCTTTCCCTCCTGCCCAGAATAATAAACTACATCCCAAACCAGAGTCCCAAAAGTGGGGCAAAAAACCATACTAGAAGACCATAATGACTACGCACTCCAGCTTAGCTCTCTGATGTGTGTTCAGCTGGTCTGTTAAATTAAGTGGAGAAGGAAAAGAAAACCACCACTCAGCAGGACTTCAGCCAGTTCATATTGCTGAAACAAACTTAGGGCAAAGACAGGGCTGACAACTACAAATTAAGAAATCTGTTATTTCTCATCACTTTGTTGGAATGGCAGCAATGTACAAACAACTGCAAAGCCATTCTAAGGCAGGAATGCACTTTAAGGCTTTTTTTTTTTTTTTTTTTCACTATTTCTAGGGCTAAAAGAAGTAGCAATGGCTTTTACAGAACTTTTAAACTTTCAAGAGCATCAGAGATAGCTCATCAATTTGGGATGAAGATCTATGCCTTTTTTTTTTTTTTTTTGAGTTGGAGCCTCACTCTGTCACCCAGACTGGAGTGCCGTTGCCGCTTCCGGACAGCGCAGCCTCAACCTGCTGGGCTCCGGCGATCCTTCTGCCTCAGCCTTCCAAGTAGCTGGAACTACAGGCGCGTGCTACCACGCCCAGCTAGTTTTTTTTTGATTTATTGTAGAGATGAGGTCTCGCCAAGTTGCCCAGGCAGGTCTCGAACCCACGGGCTCAGGCAATCCTCTCACCTCAGCCTCCCAAAGTGCTGGGATTACAGGCTGAGTCACTGACCCTGGCTAAGACCTATGCCTTTCAAAAACAAAACAAAACACCAGGCTCGGTGCCTCAGCCTGTAATCCCGCGCCTTTGGGAAGCTGAGGTGAGTGGATTGCCTT